TGCATTGTGTATGATTGATTTATGAAATTAATAATAATAATAATAATAATAATGCACGAGATAATCAGGTCTTGGCGGAGGTCTGCTCTTTCCATCAGAAATTGTAATGCAACACATCAAGGTTATTGTGTTCTCTGCTGATGACATTTTTTTTTTTTGAAGGCATCACGGTGGATAAGTACGGCATCGTCTTCTTTGTGGACGGCACCATGATTCGCCGGGTGGACCAGAACGGCATCATCTCCACCCTCCTGGGTTTCAACGACCTCACCTCCGCGCGACCCCTCAGCTGCGACTCCGTCATGGACATCGCTCAGGTATCGCGCCGCCCCGCCCCCGCCCTCGCCGCCATCTGAGCGGAATTAACCCAGGAATGCGCGCTGACCTTTTGCCGTCGGCGGCGGCTATAGGATGAGCTTGAACTTTAACCCCCGCGCGCTCGCCATCCATGCACGCGCGTCCACTGAGGCACGAGCGCATATGGACCACTCTCACGTCCCCTCCCTTTGAAACCGCCCCGGGCAAGGACACCGGAGTGGTCGGAAGAGCATAACTGGGGCGCAGAGAAAACTCAAATGATCCGGTTGCACAAGTGTGCACCCCCATCTCCTAAATGGGACGTGGCCGTGTTGAGAATGAAGCCATCACATTCAAAGCGGGCGTCTGCGCACCATTTCAAATGCCTCCCATGAAGCCCCATCAATTTCAGATGTTTTAGGAGGCTTTTGCTGACATTGTTTTGCTTTCTCACAGAACCGAAACCCGTTCACGCTAGCATGACAAAAAGCGAAAGAAAAAGTACAAAAATCACCGACGGAGACTCCCGGCAAGGACTAGAGCGCCGCATGACAAACAGCTTGCGAGGCCCCAGCGAAAGACGCTCAGTCGCTAAAAAGCCCCCATTAAAAATTCATGTGGGCGGCTTCAAACACTCGCCAAGCCCTCACTTAACATCAGCGCTTCTCTGGAGGAGGCTCGTACATTATTACCTCCACCACGTGGGATGAGCTCGATGTTGGTGAATCAGTCGGACTCCTTGTCCCACGGCTGCAAAATGCGAATGACACGGCATGTTGTTGGCGTGCGTCCTACCGTATTTTATTTGGATAAAATGTCGAGGTTCGACGATTCATTGCTAACTACCGTAATTTTATAAGGCGCCTCGGAGTAGAAGACGCATCTTCAACCAATGGCCTATTTTAAAACTGTTTTCATATACCGCATGATAAGGTGCATAGAATACGGTTATGCATTATGCACCCACTAGATGGAGCTACATTAAAGAAAATACAATACGGCTTTATTTATATAGAGCTTTCACAATCGCTGAAGCTGTAAAAAAAAGCGCTTTGACATCACTTTTAAAATACTACGTCCAAGAAATCAGAATATTGATCCATATATATATAATGCGCATCGGATTATAAGGCTCACGGTCGGCTTTTGAGAAAATGCTATTAGGTGCGCAAAAACTATTTTAGTCATCGATTCATCGCCCGCCACCTTGTTTACTTCAATTTGTCCAAATGCTCCGAATTCCGGCCAGTGAAGTCGTGACCTGTGAATCGCAAATAGACGTGGAATCGCTTTGAGGGAAATCGGCTCTCGTGTCTGCGACGACAAGCAGAAAGGACAAGCCTGGGAGCCCGTTCAAGCGTCTTTCGCTTGTTCAAACTGGTCTTAGCGGCTCCAATTTGGATTTAATGTCCTTAAAAGGTGCTATGCCGCGGCCCCCTGCCGGGTTCTGACTTCAAGCGGAGGAAAAAACCGCGACGGGTTTTACAGCATCCACGGCGGCGTTGCCGTTGGATGTACTTTTCAGACGGGGACTTGAAATGATGACATTTCACACTCGTCTGCCAGCGGACGTCATGCTGATGCCAGTAAAGAGGAGACGTGATTGCTACATGACAGTGTCCTGGAGTGAAAATAGGGAGGAAAAAAAAATGCTGGATTTCTTTCGTGGTTGCCATTTTTTTTTTTTTTTTTTTTTTTTTTTTGTAAGCTGTGATCAACTGAGGTGGGAGTAAGTCACATTTGAGAAGTCTTAATTTTCCAAATGCCAAGCCAAGTTCATGCTAAATTTCAAGTCATTTCAAGCATTGCTTGGATTTCGCAAGTCGTCAGTTGCGTGCATCTTTACGATTAAAAAAAAAACACCTGGAATTATGGTTCAGATTCGATACGGCGTAACTCGGTTTGATTGCTATAATAACAAAAAATATTTGCGTGGACTAGTTTTCATTTTCAAGAAACAAAATGAGCAAAAGTCCACGAGTTGCTTGACGTTCACAATGAAGCTACTCTTAATTTGAAAAGAAAAACGGCGTGACTCTCACCAACGTCCGACATGAACATAAAATTGCACATATACAGTCTATATACGTATGCAATAATAACAATTAAAAAAAATAGTAAAACCGCATAAACAATCGGATTTTAAAAACTCGTGTACAATTTCAAGAGAGTAAGTTAAATGTCGTAGTTGTTGTCTCTCATCTCTTTCGCAATTGTATCCAAAACAGAATTCCTTGAGTCCAAATTCAATCACCTTTGGCCCTCCCCTCCATGATACTTTTTCTTCATGTGGTTGGCCTCTGCACTCGGTTCTGGCGGGTGGCCAGGATTGCGAGCTATACACACACACACACACACACACACACACACACACACACACACATGCCCTCATAAATCTTTCAAAAGCATAACAAACAGCACGTTAGCCTAAAAATGCTAGTCGGTGGTCGTTCAAGCCGAGTCTCATGAATACCAAGTCAAAGTTGCGTCTTTCGTCAATTTTTGTCAAGCACATCACAAGTTCTCATCTTGGGGGGACTTCGTTTTGACTCCAGTCCAGTCATGGGACTCGAGTTGCATCACATCGGACGGCAGCTCTGCGAAAACGTTTCCCAGCGTAGCGTAAAAAAAAAATAAATAAATAAAAAAAATGCTCACAGGCGTCTCGTCACTCGGCCTTGTGTAACATTGAACCGGCAGTGTTGACAAGAAATTGGTTTTAAGGAATTGAAAGTCTCCCCCCTTCCCTCTCGTATGAAGTAAATGCATTTTCTGAACGCCACTGGGCCCATTGATGTTGTACACGGCCCGCGGCTATGCTCCATTATGGGGGGGGGGAATTGCCTCCCTTTTGAGTGGGATGCGCTTTTTTTCAATCAAAAGAGGACAAGTGCGCCACTCCAAAGGAGTGGCATGAGGAGTCAAAAAGCGTGACCAATAACGTTGGAGAGTCAGAGATGACATTTTCTTTCTTTTTTTTTTTTTTTTTTTTTTTTTTTCTCCTGTCGTTGACTCCCCCCGTTGGCCGTCAAATGAGGAAAAGAACGGGAAGGGATAAAGGTGGAATATGGTGGGCAATCTTCTACTTGAAAGCGGATAACAAGCTCTGCCGTGTATTGGGGGTCGTTACACCGGATGGCGGGCGTCCTTGAACGACTTCCACGAGCCGCCCGTCATTTATTTTTCAAGCGCAGGCAACACGGTGCCATGTGGAAACGCACTTGATGGCCAAACTGTTGGTTGACTTGAAATTTACCTTTTTTTTTCTGATTTTATTGTCAAGTCAAGTCCTTTGTACATGTAAAATGTAAAAATTAATTCATTTTTATATTTATATATGAATTAAAATGTGTTGTATTTTTTTTCAAAGCTCAGCATGTATAAAATACAAAAAAAAATCATATTTCATTTGCTGATTTAAAAAAATATCCCACGATTATACATACCAACTATAGATCATATCTATATATAGATAGAGAGAGAGAGAAAATTCATCTTCTTATTTCTGTCTTAACTTCTAAATGTTATTTATAAAATGTAATTACTTGCATAATGTTTTTATGATGATAATTCTCATGTGCATGTATAGAATGCGGCTAGATGTAAAATACACGGCATCATTTTCGTAATGATTTCAAATTGTATCTTCAACTTTTATTTTCAACCTCCCATTCGTTTAACTTTCGAAACATTACCGACATGTATTTATTTCTTTATATTTTCCCTATATTCAGGTCGTCGCAGGGTCATGGCAAAGTGTGGCTGCCGTCGTTTCTTGTTTTTGTTTCCATGGTTATTGTCACGTCTTCAATCTTAAAAGCACAAGAGGAAAATTCATTTCTGTCATTTCCACGAAACACATGCTAAAACATTCAGATTCAGATTCAGGAAACTTTATTTATCCCCATGGGGTAATTTGGACTTAACAGGCACACTCTGCACAAACAGTGCGAAGGGTCTGTCGGTACTCGCCGTATGTACAGCGGCCCGAGATCTTAACATGCTAATCAACACCTTTGTCTCATCACTTGCAAAAAAAAAAAAAAAAAAATACCTGACTATTAGTGTGCATTTTTAAAAAATCAATTTCCTATTGAAATATGACACTTGACTTCAGAATAATGAAGTGACAGTGAGCACGGATCGCCTTGTCGGTGGAACAATCGGTCTTCATGGCGAAGGCTTGAGGCCTTCCGTCGTTCTCCGGCTTCATCTGCCGCCGTGAGTGGAGGTGACGAGGACGCGGCATTTCCGCTGCTTTAAAAACGGCTGCGGTTTATCTGATCTTGAGCACTCCTCACACCGCCCTTTTTCCAGCCGCGATTGATGACTATCTTTGGATCAAACCGTATAAAGAGCGCGCTTCTGCTTTCAACGCTACGCTCGGCACTGCATTCGTCCTTATCAGATGATTTTTTTGTGGGGGGGGGGGGTTATTTTTCGTCAACACTGAATCTGTCAGTTGTTGATGCCATAATGTAATTTGTTTCTTGGAGGGCCCGCACTCCTCTTTGAAATACCCCAAGCCTTGTTTTCATTTTCATCAAGCAGGACGATTCGGTTTGGTTCGGAAGTCATTTTACCGCGTGGTCATCGTAGAGTAAACCCCAACTCTTGGCGGGGGATATGGACCGAGACCTGCAGCAAAGAGCGAAAAAACAACAGTCATTATCACCCCTTCCTAATTTGAAAGTAGGCTTTTGAACTCGGGTTTTAAATGAGAGTAAAGGTTCCAAAGTCGGGCTTTTATCGGGCTAGAGTTTCAAAGTCAGGTTTTAAACTTAAAACCTCCCCGACATCTCAAAGAGTCAGGATTCCTGAACTCCTTCCTTGACCCCGATGCCACATTTCCATTTTTGTGGCATTTGTGGGCCCTTTTCAAAAAGAACACAAAATAACACAAATTATGGATTTTTTTTCCATGAATAGCGAATGTTGGTTTTCTTGCTATTAGGCTAGTTAACGCGGCTAGGCTAGCGCTATCCCACCTACTGATTGATGAGATCCAAACCGTACCACAGCAGCGAAATCCTTTGGCTATTTTTCTTGACCAAGACGTCGATGTTTCCGGTGTTTTGCCCTTTTGTAGGTTCGTCTGGAATGGCCCACCGACCTCGCGGTGAGCCCCCTGGACAACTCGCTGTACGTCCTGGACAACAACGTGGTGCTCCAGATCTCGGAGAACCACCAAGTGCGCATTGTGGCAGGCAGGCCCATGCACTGCCAAGTCCCCGGCATCGACCACTTCCTCATGAGCAAGGTGGCCGTCCACGCCACGCTGGAGTCTGCCAACACGCTGGCCGTGTCCCACACCGGCGTGCTGTACATCGCCGAGTCGGACGAGAAGAAGATCAACCGGGTGCGGCGGGTGTCCACCAACGGCGAGATCTCCCTGGTGGCGGGGGCGCCGAGCGGCTGCGACTGCAAGAACGACGCCAACTGCGACTGCTACTCCGGCGACGAGGGCTACGCCAAGGACGCCAAACTGAACGCGCCCTCCTCCTTGGCGGTGTGCCCGGACGGGGAGCTTTACATCGCCGACTTGGGCAACATCCGCATCCGCTTCGTGCGCAGGAACAAGCCATACCTGAGCCCGCTCAACATGTACGAGGTGTCGTCGCCCATCGACGACGAGCTCTACCTGTTTGACGCCAACGGCAGCCACGTGTTCACCCAGAGCCTGACCACGGGCGACCACTTGTACAACTTGACCTACACGGGGGCGGGCGAGCTGAGCACCATCACGGACAAGAACAAGAACGTGGTGACCGTCCGGCGGGACACCACCGGGATGCCCCTGTGGATCATGACGCCCGACGGGCAGACCTTTTGGTTCACCGTGGGCACCAACGACGCTCTGAAAAGCGTGGCGGCGCAGGGCCAGGTGCTCGCCGTCATGACGTATCACGGGAGCTCCGGGCTGCTGGCGACCAAGACCGACGAGAACGGGTGGACCACCTTCTATGAGTGAGTTGTGTGGGGTTTTTTGTCAGATGTTTTGGGGTTTTCTGAGTCATAGGAGGGGCTTGGCTGCAAAGGCCTCAATGGCCAAGTGCTTTCGGGGTTGAGCATGTCATTTTAGGCTACGTTTCAGCTTTCTGTGAACAAAACAGGATTGCCCTGACATGTTAAGATCACCACCGTGCAGATGAGACATCGAGTCGGTCAGAGTAAAATATAGTAGGGCGTGTCAGAACCTTGATTTTTATGGACCCAGAAAGAGCAGATCCTGGATTCAAAAGTCAGGACCGAGCATCCAGTTCCCCCAACGCTCTCCTCAGTTGAGTACCATTCAAACTCTGTAAGTTCCTGATTTGGCCGTGATTCTCCACTGCTCTCTCGTCATACATAAGCCGAAATTAGAGTAGACTAGAGCAGGCTAAAATGCACGTCAACCATGTTGGCTGGGGCAACATTCTCATCGATGCGAGATGGACGACAGGGCGGCCATCGAAGCAGGAGAGAGAGTCCCTTGAAGTGTAATGGAGCAGGAGCGTTAGCTTAGCATCTGGCAGAGACACATCGCTAGCTCAAAAGGAGCGTATCTTAACTACCTTAAATGTGGATATACAGTATTTTAAAATGTTTCCAACGATGAAAAAAGTTCCAGTGAGTGGTTGGCTTTCGGGTTAGGGCCACCTGCGCCGCCAGTTGAGCTGTTTATCTGAGCGCACAACCTCCCGTCTGCGACAGATTGCCGTTGAACATCACTCGCTGGGCAAGAGCGGCGCTGAGTACAGACGTAATCCCATTTCTGTTATCGTCTAAAACAGGATTAGCGCCTGCTATGGAGCTGTCCTCATCTGCTCTCTGGCATGTAATGACACAGCGTATATGCTCATCAGAGTAGTCGGGGGATTCCGTTTCTCCGTCACTTCCAGGAAGCGATCCGTCCCGTCGCTTAATAGCACCGAGGGGACGCGCGGTGTTCCAAAAAGGGAGGGTTAAAAAAAAAAAAAAGTGTGATGAAGCGGACGCTGCCGATCAGACATCTGTTTCACCTCGCCGGAGGAATAAACGGGCCTGATGCATCATCAGACGCTCGCTTTCATCCGAGCTGACACTCATCACCTGTCTTTGATTTGCTCCGCACGCACGCGAGATGGCGTCGCTTATGTCGACCTGAATCGAAACGGAAAGATCCGATTGGTCCCGGCGCATCGGCGCCGTCCCGTGAGGGGGCTGCAGCCACGTTTTACGCTCAAGGGCCACATTTGATTTTTAAACGGGACAGATGGGCCAGCTCATTCGTAAACGAAGGGGGGGAGAAAATATATATATAGTTCTTAAAATGTTAACTCATTCACTGCCAGAGATTCCCCCGGATTGTCAGCCATTTTAGAGCAGACCCACGGAACGCCGTGTCCTGTGACTCTAAAAACAGCGAACCCAATAAAACAAAGAGCACATTCGCTAGTGTCTTCTCGGGTCTTGTTTCAACATCTTTCCGTTGGGTCGTAATATGAAGTAGAAAATGGGCCGGCCTCAACAGAGACACGGGAACAGGGACTTTGAGGCCAATGGTTTTTTGTTTTTTTGTTTTTTTTTGCTCTTTTGACACCCCCGACTGCGGAAGAACAAACAGAAGACTGAGAAAGGGCTTTTGATGGCAAAAATAATGCTTTGTTTACGGATGCAGTGTACAAGAAATGCAGCGTGAGCGACGCTGACTCACCGCATGGCTCCAGTGTGACTTTTTGACACGGCATTTGTCTTTCACTTCATGGCTTGGCTCATCTTTTCTCACAATCGCAAGACCTACTTTCGACTGTTTTTTTTTTAGTGGGGGTGTTGCCAAAAATATCCATACTCTAATTGAGTGTGAGGTACCCTAAATGTTTCCGACTTCCGACATGCTAGCATTTCTCCCCTTTATGATTGACCGGGCAAGCCAAGATTCACCCCCTAATGTTGACCGTCAACTCCAAAACTGCTCATTCAAATATTCGGTGATGCGAAGTCACCATTTACGGTGACCTGTTACTCATGATACAGGTTTCGAAATTTCTAAAAAAAAAAATAATAATCCATATGAATCAATGCCGAATTAAAGCGACAAATGCCACATGACTCTTGATCATGCAAATGGCCCACGAGCTGGATTAAAGAAGCCCCCCCGGTCTGCGCGATCCGATCTAAGAGCTGTGTCGAGAAGTTACAATAGCCAATTTAGAGCATTCCTCGTTAACGTCTTGACAGTGAGTTTGTGTGTGTGTAGGGTGGGGGGGGTCTATTTCGAGAGCTGTGTGTGTGTGTGTGTGTGTCATATTTCAAAAAAAAAAAAAAAAACGACACCAGCCCTTGTGCTTCAGGCTAATGTGATTCATGAATAAATTAGCTTTGAATCATGTTTGAAAGACACCACGGGCCACTTTCTGCTCAATTCAATCAGTGGCCGGTTTGTTTTTAATATAATCCATAAATTGTATGATGTAATCTTCCCAAAACAACGCAGTTCATAGCAATAAGATTTCGTTTTTTTGTTTTTTTTTTCAACTGTTCCCGTCTGAGTTCATTTCAAGTCACGGCAGCACCGGCGAAATGTTCCATTTGCCCTGGTCAATGGAGAAAAAAAACAAAATCACATTGTTTGTCTACCTGTGCCGGTCCGCTCATCAATGATTAATCTCAGCCAATAATGACTATTTGTTTTCCTTCTAGAATTAGCTTCGAAGGTCACGACACCTATCAACGTTGCCGTTTGTATTATTTCAGCCACGCGCGTTATCCCGCCTGCTTTTATGCCGACATTCCGGTGACATCATTCATGTTTTTCGATCGTGTCCGCTCGAGAGCCGGACGACGTTGCTACGTTTGCCCGGGATTTCGTGCCATCTTGCGGCATCTACGGGAGTTTCAAAGAGCACTTAAATAAAAAAATTAATAAAAACACACAAATGGGTGACAGTGACCATATGTCGTTTCACAGCAAAGTAACACCAAAGAGTTAATTTTCGGTAGCTCGAGCCATAAATGAGTATTTGGAAGTCCACCGTTTGGCATGCAGCTGAGGTGGTCACATGGCTGCTTGGCCTCCTGTTATTGTTTCCACAGTCTTCACGCAGACGCGTCCTGACATTCTCGACTCTGCGTGGCACTCGAGTTGGCGATTAGCGGCTACGCCGGGAGGACGGCGAGGCGCAATGTCCACTCTATTATTATTGGGGACAACCCCCCTCTCACCGCCCCCCCCCCTCGTTTCTACGCGAAAGGTCACGGAGCTGGCGTGTGACACAGATGTGATGCAATATGAAGGGACTCGTGGGCATCCGAGGGGAAGGCAAGAGCCCCCACCCCCACCCGCCGCCTGACCGCAGGAAGCGAGCCAAAAGGCAGCTGAGTCCCAAGAAGGCTGTTTTGTGTTGGGGGGGGGGAGAAAATAAAAATCCGAACAAAAACAAATCGCAGTCCACGTCGAAACACAACTGGCTTGACAAACCCAAATTCCAGTGAAGTGATTTCGGCAGTCCCGTCATGAAAGCGGAACGATTACATTGGTGTTGAATCAACATACAGAAATCAATTGCTTTGAATTCGGCAAACAATAATCAAGGCCATTTTTGCCTTTTTTTCTGACATGTCGGTGAATCAGAATTCAGTTTTGGGTGTACCGCAATTTGAAATGATGTTTCCGAATGGATAATCAGACTCATCGATTCATTGGCAAAATTAAACAACTGATGAATCAATTCTGCAACTCATTTATTATAGATGATTGAGATGATTATAGATAAATGATTAATCGACAATGAATCCGTTGTCAAATTCACATATAATTATTTTTGATACTCGATTAATCGTTTCAAAAGTCTTGCTTGATTTAAAATGGTCCAAATTCTCAGAATTTCAGCCTCTCAGTCGTGGATATTTTCACATTTCTTTTGTCCTTTATGAAAGCAAACCGATTATCTCCGTGTCGAACCAAAACATTTGCAAACATCCGTTTTTACTTTGGAAAACAAGAAGCAACATTTTTGCCAATTTTTCTTACATTTTTAACAACTACACGAGTGACTGAATTCATTTGTTGGCACATTTTTTACATTGACATTTTGAAATAATGTCCTGATTTTAGATGAAGGAATGGAAATGAAAACATTTTTTTTCCCCACACCCGATTACATAATCGCCCGATTAATGGCTGACTCAAATAATGGTTAGTTGCAGCCCTAGAATTTCGAAAAAAAAATTCGTGGAGATTCGTCAGTTACGTTTAGCCGCTATTTGTCTTTGTCCCGAAAAAAAAGTGAGCTGGGGTGGGGGGGTGTCTTTAGCTACAAATGACGTTAGCATTTAGCGTCTTTGGAAATGGAAGACTAAACTGCTCCCGTAGTGCCGCTCGGCTCGGATTACTTTTATCTCCGGGAGATGATTCCGCTCCCGCTCTTCCTGTCCATAATGGATATTTGAGATGGCAGCGCAGAGGAAATAAACCAGCGCCCGCCCGCCCGCCAGCCTCGTTTATTCGAGGCTTTGCTGTGGCAGGCGGCGACATGCAAAGAGGGCCGCTTTTCAATCGGGATTCCGCGCGCGCGCCATCGCTCCTCATCCTCGCGTAATGTGGCGCTGGCGTCGGCCGCATTCTGCAACAGTGACAGCTTTCAAATTGTTCGCCGCTGATGGGCCTGTCGGGAGCGAGATGAAACAATCTGGCCGCGTCGTGTCGCCGCGTGTCATAAACTTCACTTTTTTTTTTTTTTAACACGCGAAGGTGGAGGAGTCCGGGCCGTACCTCGCCGCTGCTTAATGAGATCAGGCGATAACGCCGCTCGCCTGTTAAGCTGTTAAAGGCACTTGGACGGGATTTGTGACGAGGGGCTCTTCATCTCTCCTCTGTCAGTTTGTGGACAAGTGAACTGCGTTCTGATCGCTATCAATTTGGGGATCCCACCGAGGCCGAAATCGCAGTTGGTCTTGGTCCAGCAAGCCCAGCAAATAGGGGAAAAAAAAAAAAAAAAAAAAAAAAAAAAAAAAAAAAAAACACTGCGAATAATTTATCCAACCTTCCAGAGATGTTACGAATTGCTTGCTTCAAGATGTTTATTTATTGCCACTCCCTGATGAAGTTTACTTTGAAAGTCGACAAAGAAATGTGAAATGCTCAAGCCGGGCTAACGGAAAGTAGCATGGATACAACTGATATTTGAACAGCAGTGAAAACAGGGACGACGCCATACGTGTTCACTTCCGATAAAATACCAATATCGCACTGACCGATACTGTTGTCAATCGTGCTTTTATTGACTTACCGGTATTTATTCCAAACATTTGGGTTAAAAAAAACTCACAAACAACCTCAACCTCAAACGTAAGAGTGTTGTGGCGAGGGTACACACACCAGAAGAATCAACACAGTGTACATTGAATCAAAAAAAATGTTGCAAGAACTTTTTAATTCTTACATTGTTGATGTTATTACTGCATATTTTTACACAGTACAACAAACACTACAGAGTGCACAGGTCTGCAAAAATACCAACATTTGGTTTAGCCCGCCCCTGCGCAGGTTTTGGCAGAGCTTCCTGCCGGACGTGTGATTGCACTAATGGCTAAACACACACTATTTTGTTTCTTCAGGTACGACAGTTACGGCCGTCTGACCAACATCACACACCCGACGGGCCGGGTGAGCAGCTACCGCGCCGACGCCGATAGCGCCGTCCGCATCCAGGCGGACGGCGCGGCCAAGGAGGACGTGACCATCACCACTAACCTGTCTGCATCAGGCACCTTCTACACACTCATGCAAGGTGGGTACAAATAGTTTGATTTCAACAGGGATCCGATCATTTGGTTCCCGTAGCTCTGTGGCAACATTCCCTGTTCTTTTCAAATAATTCCGTCATTTACTCAAGAATGCAACCGTGGTCGACTTCACTGTTTGATCTGGATTCTGGAGCAATAGCAACTACACGACCTTAGCCTTGGTGATGATATTTTATCTTGTCCCTTTTGAAATCTCTGTTCCAGGTGTTATCATTCCATTCATAGGCGACAGTTCTATTGATTTAAAAAAATAAATAAATAAATACATTAAATAAAACATTAAAAAAAAAAACAGACTATTGATTTTAACTGAGCTGTCCAGTGTTTAATCAAGGTCAAATGTTGCATTTGACAGTGCTGGGAAGTACGCTCAAATCGGAATATTTTGTTCCAGTCAAATGACAAAACAACGCAAGTTTTTTTTTTTTTTTGGGGGGGGGGGTTTTTTTTTTTTTTTTTTTTTTTTAATGACATTTGTTTCTAAATTACAAAATAAATTTCAGGCCTGGAAATAACTCATTTGTATTTTTAATTTAAAAAAACAAAACACTATTTTAAAAATTACCCAGCCACTTGAATTGGAAAATGATTTTTGGGGAAATGTGAGTTAAATACAAATAGAAGTTAAAAGTATTTTTAAATGATTACGTCTGCTGAATCACTGAACACGGGATTTAGATTGTTTTATTCAATTTTTTTGCAATGAAATCAACCTGCGTAATAGGGAGATGATATCTTAATTTTTAATTTATTTATCACCCCCCCCCCCAAACCCCGAGTCATGGACATTGTTTTAAAATTCTGAATTTGTCTGCTCTTGCTTTGTGTCCCGAAGCTCCTTTCTCTGAAGTCCTACGACCTCTAAACCTAATTCTATGAGATACCTCCTTAGAAGCTCCTTTGACATGTCAGTTTCAGAGTTCACGCGCGGGTGATTGCGCTGCCGCAATCTGACATCCACATTTTCGGCAGCCATTTCCACCAACTCCACACATGTTGCTTCCCTCCATCTTAATGAAATGAAAGTGCAGCGGGCAACAAGGCGGATTGGTTGCATCTATTGATTTTGTGTCATGGCGCACAATGGCGGCGATGAATACGAGCCGCTGCGGCTCGGCTCGCGACTCCCCAATTTGTGTTGGGGCGTTCGCACGTTTCTGACTTTTATCGATCGCCTTTTGATGGCGCTGAACTTTTTTGGGGGGGGCCGGACCAACTGTGATCTTCCAAAGACAAGCCCTCCCGTCATCCAGCGACGCTCCCGTCCCACTGACTCCTTTCACGGCTGCAATTTGAGACATCCCGTGTGGGTTTCCTCCCCCTCCCATTGTCCGGTCCGCAAGTCACATCCGTGTCATGACCTTGTCTCAGACATCTGTTTGCCAGCCCATCGGCGCCAGCGACCCAGCCCGCTAATTAATTGGCTATCGTCTGTGTCGCACAGATAGCGAAGTACTCACACACCGCACTTCAGTCCAAGTGCAGATAGCTGTGTAAAAATAAATACAGAAAGAAGTCCGACACTTGTTTTTTCTTGCATTGTTCATGATCTGAATTCAAACGTTGAAGACTTTTTTCAGATATGGTCCCGAAAAAATAAAATTCACTCAAATATTGTTCACAAAAGTATCAAAATCTTTGCTGAGCTAAACCATCCATCTCACGGTATGATGACATTTGAGCACAGGTGTGCTAAACTGCCCATAATCAAAGACCAGGAAAACGCGCAACCATTTGCTTCACGCTGTCAGATTGTCAGCCTCGAAGGTTTAAAAACCTGAACAAGCCTATTTTGAGACTAAAGAGTAGAAAGTACCAATTTCTTTTTTTTCAATCCATCACTTTTCTAAGTCGCTCATATTCAGAAAGTAATTGCTGGAAAATTCTCTGTCTAATCCCAAGAAAACGCGTGCAGGTAAAGTGGATTTTTTTTCTTATTAGCTCATTCAGCAATTTTTATTTATTATTTTTTTTAAGTACACGGCCTGAATTGTCAGTGGCGGAACCTAACAAAATATTTGCACTTCATTACGTGCCACCTCTGTTGTCGATGCCCAAGTTCAGGATTGTCCGTCACGTCGCCGTTCCAGAGATTGCCGCCGGATAGGAGCGAGGTTTAATTACAAGTCTCCTTGGGGCTGCGGCAGACAGTATATCTAGCGCTCCCTTTTAATCAGAAGGGGCCGTACTAAAGCTGTCATCGCACATTGCTTACTGCCGCACGCTGCCCACCTTAAGCCTGACTTGCAGTTGTGTTGGTACTGCTCAAAAAGCTACGCAGTTTTATGCTATGGCCGTTGTACCAAATGTACGGGAAAAAAATGTATCTAAAGCAAATTGTAAAAGATTAAATGCATACGTATTGTATTTAAAAGTGAGATTCAACTTTTTAATGTACTGCACGACATTGAAAAAGGAAATTTAATAATAAGACACTGTCATGTCCATTTTTGACTTTTAATTCTGTGATTCTTCTTCATGTACCACTAGAGGGAGCCTGTGTACCACTCGGGCAGGGCTGTCAGTCATTTTCGCTATTTTCTTTGGAGGGCTGTTGTGATTGTTGGTGTTGTTTTTTACTGAGAAACATGAAGTCACTGCACATGATTTGCTTTTAAGGGCCACATAAAATGATGTGGCGCGCCGGCCGCTAATTAATTGGCTATCGTCTGTGTCGCACAGATAGCGAAGTACTCACACACCGCACTTCAGTCCAAGTGCAGATAGCTGTGTAAAAATAAATACAGAAAGAAGTCCGACACTTGTTTTTTCTTGCATTGTTCATGATCTGAATTCAAACGTTGAAGACTTTTTTCAGATATGGTCCCGAAAAAATAAAATTCACTCAAATATTGTTCACAAAAGTATCAAAATCTTTGCTGAGCTAAACCATCCATCTCACGGTATGATGACATTTGAGCACAGGTGTGCTAAACTGCCCATAATCAAAGACCAGGAAAACGCGCAACCATTTGCTTCACGCTGTCAGATTGTCAGCCTCGAAGGTTTAAAAACCTGAACAAGCCTATTTTGAGACTAAAGAGTAGAAAGTACCAATTTCTTTTTTTTCAATCCATCACTTTTCTAAGTCGCTCATATTCAGAAAGTAATTGCTGGAAAATTCTCTGTCTAATCCCAAGAAAACGCGTGCAGGTAAAGTGGATTTTTTTTCTTATTAGCTCATTCAGCAATTTTTATTTATTATTTTTTTTAAGTACACGGCCTGAATTGTCAGTGGCGGAACCTAACAAAATATTTGCACTTCATTACGTGCCACCTCTGTTGTCGATGCCCAAGTTCAGGATTGTCCGTCACGTCGCCGTTCCAGAGATTGCCGCCGGATAGGAGCGAGGTTTAATTACAAGTCTCCTTGGGGCTGCGGCAGACAGTATATCTAGCGCTCCCTTTTAATCAGAAGGGGCCGTACTAAAGCTGTCATCGCACATTGCTTACTGCCGCACGCTGCCCACCTTAAGCCTGACTTGCAGTTGTGTTGGTACTGCTCAAAAAGCTACGCAGTTTTATGCTATGGCCGTTGTACCAAATGTACGGGAAAAAAATGTATCTAAAGCAAATTGTAAAAGATTAAATGCATACGTATTGTATTTAAAAGTGAGATTCAACTTTTTAATGTACTGCACGACATTGAAAAAGGAAATTTAATAATAAGACACTGTCATGTCCATTTTTGACTTTTAATTCTGTGATTCTTCTTCATGTACCACTAGAGGGAGCCTGTGTACCACTCGGGCAGGGCTGTCAGTCATTTTCGCTATTTTCTTTGGAGGGCTGTTGTGATTGTTGGTGTTGTTTTTTACTGAGAAACATGAAGTCACTGCACATGATTTGCTTTTAAGGGCCACATAAAATGATGTGGCGCGCCGGATCTGGCCCCCGGGTCTTGAGTTTGACACCTGTGCACTCGTGGTACTTGTGCGACCACAATTTGAGAATCACCCTATTGTAACGGAGGTTCTCAAAAGAACATTTCAGTCTTATCCCTTTTTTTTCTTTTTCGTGATTCGGAAAAGTCAAGTCGCAGCTATGCTGACCGAACAATGTTAAATTTGATCTGACTAAGTTTGGTGAGGTTCCTTTGCATAAAGCAAGTCACGGATGCTTATGTTGTAGCGTTCACAAAATGGGTCATTCCCGTGGCATGACGGGGTGCACGCGGTAGTTGTGTTTAATGTCCTTGCAAAAGTCCCTGGAGCCCCCCCAAAAATTCGAGAAACCCAGGGACCGTTTAGTTCGGCTTGGAAGTAGTCATGTGTGTATTATATTCCCAATTGGTTGACTCATCTTTCCAACTTACGATCATGAACAATGTACAAAAGCTTTCGACGGCAACATGTTGGCTTCGGAGCCAATTTTTTCCAAGTCCCGTTATTTCCTATGGGGGGAATTGTTGGATAAACCAGCCGATTGGGAGGATGGCCAGCGTCCTGGAATCTGTGCTGTGATGTTGTCATGAGGCAAAGAAAGTCTGAGCGAGTGCAGTGCCAACAACGTCTCTTGTGCTCACCCATGAGATTGTGCCACTCTCCTCCTATTACGCACCAGCCACCTACCCACGGACACGACTGTCAGTCATGATCATGATAATGAGGGTTATTATCCGCCTCACCTTTCAGAGGTTAGAATGTTTGATCTCTGATTTTCGCAAATCCATCCGCGATAGGGATTGTCAAAGAACTTCAAACGATTTTATGGAACTGAATTCAAGTGGCGTCTGCGAAGATGTCGTTGACAGTGGAATGTATTTCGAATGTAACGCCATGTTCAAAATGCGACCCGATTTGAAAGAACTGTAAACTTTTAACACCTTCATCTGACAGCCGGCGGCCCGCACGCGGGCACGCGCACGGTCGCCCCCAGTTCGGCGGCATTTTCAGCCCCGTTTGGCCTTCGAGGCTTCCTAAAGGCCCCCGCGTCGACCTCCGTGATGGAGAGAGGAAAGGTCGGCCTGCCAACTCGACTCATTTCTTTCTCTTGACAGCACAACAGAGAGAGGGAAAAGCGTAGCGCTCGCATGTTGCGCTTGTTCTTTATCGTCTACAAAGGACGCTGAAACCTGTCGTGTCGACGCGTGGGAATGACAATGCGCTTTTTTTTTTTTCCCGGGCCCTTCTACAAACTCATTAATGTTTCACTAGCCATTAGGAGCTCCTTAATGAGGATAATATGCTTACTTGTTTGTTTTTTGTTGGGGGTTTTTTTTGTTCCCTGATGAATGTGGACGAGACGAGCAGCAACATTAAGTCTGGATGTGGCGCCGCGTCGTAAACAGCGGTCATGTCTTTATTCTTTTATTTGTTTTGTTTTCCACCCGGTCAGCTCAGCTCGCGCTTCCTGCGGTGGTTTTCAGTCCCCTCCGACATCACCCGAGGCTGCTGCAAAAGTTCTGTGTTTAAAAAAAAAAAAAGTTTACGGGGCGCTGGGAAAGCCGCTGGCTATTGATCCACGTTGGGCCGGGCGCTGCGTTATTGCAGAGTTTCAGTTAAATACTGCTGCCGCTGCTAAAGGTTGTTCTTCTTGTTTTATATTGCTGAGCGGCCGTTTTAGCTCATTACGCCGTGACCTGGCTCAGATGAATATTAGATTATGTCCTCTTTCGTTAGCGGTGAGATGCCGTGATTGTCAGCGCTTGCTAAAATAGCTGCTCACACGGCGCACAGAGGTAGAAGTACAGATAAATTGGGCGGCGCTAAGGTAAAGGTCACGATTCAACTCCTGTACTTTAAGAAAGTCAGAGAGAACGCGGCCCAACATCAACACACTAGCGGTGCTAGCAACACTAGCTAGTAATAGCGCCGTAAGCAAGCCAACTTTAGCCGTGGCAGCTATCTCAGTAGCGTGACTTATTTGTAATAGTGTTACTGCAACATTAAGTCTATCAGTTTGAAGTTTAATTTTTTTGGGGAGGAATGTACAATCAATTAACAATCCCAAAGAAGTGATAAGTATACCTGTCAAGCAGGATGTTGCTAATTCCGCGCCGCTTCTGAATCCTTTCAGCTGCCTGAGATCCCTTCACTCCGCTTCCGTTTGCTAGTCTTGCCCAGTTGTTCAAAAACGATTGATGGGCTTTTTTTTTTCCCCCAGAAGTGGAGATGAATAATTTAGCACAACATGAGGGGAGGAGGGCGGTGGATGTTTACCTGCGCGCAAATTATTTCCATCCTTTATTAACTTACAGTACATCGGAGGTACTTAGAAGAAAAAAAAAATCCTTTTTCAAGTATAAACGTTCCCCTTTGTTCCTGCACTTCCCCTGAAAATCTCTCAGATCAAGTGCGCAACAGCTACTTCATCGGCCTGGATGGCTCCTTGCGGCTGGCCTTGGCCAACGGCATGGAGGTGTCGCTGCACACGGAGCCCCACCTGCTGGCCGGCACCGTCCACCCCACCGTCAGCAAGCGCAACATCACGCTCGCCTTGGACAATGGCCTCAACCTGGTGGAGTGGAGGCAGAGGAAGGAGCAGGCTCGCGGCCAGGTCACCGTCTACGGACGTCGGCTACGGGTAAGAAGCCTTCGCTTTGCAAATAATGCATTTGGGCTGACCAGGTAAAGTTTTTTTTTTTTTTCGAGCCATGTGAAATATGTCAAGCTGACACTTAAGTCGACTTTAAAGCGCACTCAGAATTTTCCACCGTTTCAAATCACGAACATTGAAGTAAACAAATATAATATTAGCATGTTGTAACGCTTTAAAGTTAACCTTTAGCGTGGGGTTTAACGTGCGTTTGTGTGACTCAAAGGCACTTATATTGATGGCAGATGTGCGCGCACTCCCGTCGAACTTGAGTTTGGATGTGATCGAACAATTCTGAGCACCGGTCGTAACTGAAATGAATGCAGCATCATTCACTGCCACAATTAAATGGAACTGTAACCAAGAAACCAAACTCAAGTAATTGTAGCTAAGTAACTGAAGCGATGTCAAAGTAAGTGATCAGGAAAGCCTACTAGAACAGCTGAACTTGATCACAAAAAAACTGTCTTTTGAACAGGGGTGTGTAAACTTTTTATCATCAGCGCATATTACTTGATGCTAAATTTCTCTAGCGTCGTGCGATAAAGAGCAAATGTCTGACCCCAACATGGCTTTATCTCAGTGTGTAGCAACAACAAAACCTGAAGTAACATTGCCTCTTTTGCCACAGCAACAGCTTCTTCTTTTTTTTTCCCCTCCCCCGTCTTCCTTGTAATCCAAATTGCCTCGCGCATTCTCCAGCAGGCGACGGTGCTAATGGGGAGGTGCCACTTTGTCTGTCATCGGCTGTTCATTTAATGGCCCCGCTGTCCCTGTGCAAGTGCAAGCGTCTAATGTATGTTACAGACAATGGCCCTCGGGGGTGAGATAGGGGAAACGGGAGCAGCCTAATAGCCACGGAGCGGGCAGGGATGAGCACAGCCGGAATCATTGAGCGACCTTGAGTGGCGTGTCAAGTGATATTACGTGGGTGGCTGGCTGGGCTGAGCGCGTGGCCGGGAGGAGGCCGCCTCTGCCTTCGCACATCTTTCAAGTCAAAACGACATCGGGGGGGAAGGGAGATCAAGTATTTGGGAATTTGGGTCTTGCTTGGCATTTGTTGTGATCCTCAACTTGACCCTCGTCATTTCGGCTCACCTTCGCCGGCCGGTCATGGTAACGCTGCAGATTTATGGTGCAGAGGCGTCGTCGTGCCTCTGTTCGCTCTCGCGGGGTGACCGCTCCGACGCCCTGAGATGGCCACGGAACAGATAAT